TATGATGATAATGATGCGGGTGTTGATGGAGGAGGGAGTGATGTGGGTGAGGGTAATCGGGGCGTAGGAGGTCCGAGGTACTGCCGCAACGACGGTCAATTGGAGAGGAGAGTGTTAGTCGGTGATCGATGTTGTTGTTGTTATTGTTTAGTGGCATGCAATTGTTGTTGTTGGTGTCGGGGGAAATTATGTTGTTGTTGTTGTTGTTGGGGCCGGTTGGTGAAGTTAAATCGCTGACGTGTGGGATTAATTGGGGTAGGTGGTGGCCACCGAGCTGGTGAAAAAGATGATGTTGGTGTTGTTGGTGAAATTGTTGTTGTTGTTGTTGCTGCTGTTGGAAGTCGTAAGTAGATAACCCTGGATGGAAAGTTAACTTTGGTGATGTTGTTGTTAACTGCTGCTGCTGTTTAAGGGGGGACGAGTGGAAGAGGAATGGTTCTACAGAATGATGGTGAGGATGGAGATGACGAGGAGATTGTTGCTGTGGTGGTAGTGGTGGCTGCTGTTGTTGCTGCTGATGGTGGTGGTGAACAGATAGAGGGCTTGGGTAAATTGAGGAAGTGTCATAAGTGTGTTGGGGGTACATTATATGAGGGTTGTTTGTTGTTGTTGATGATTCATAGGACGACGATGAAGGAGTTAGATTTGAAAAACTAAATTGTTGTTGTTGCTGTTGTTGTTGGCCGTCAAAATCTGTAATTTCGTATTTGTAGGGAAGATAATGTTGTTGTTGTTGCTGCTGATGTTGTTGCTGCTGGTTATCTGAATAATGATGATGTTGTTGTTGTTGCAAGTACGGATGTTGTTGTTGATGTTGTTGTACAAATTTAACGAAATCATCATTAGTTGAGTAGAAATTTTTCGTAACAGCAGCAATAGGCGGTAGGGATTGTAAAGTTTCGTAGTTTAGTGACGTCATCTCTTCGTCATCGTCGTCGTCATCATCGTCGTTGTTGTTGTTGCTGTCGCTGTGGGCATTAATGTTGTTGTTGTTGCTGCTGCTGATGTTGTTGTTGTTGATGTAACTACTGCTTGCATTAATAAAATTATCATCGTCGACATCATCATCATCATTGTTGTTGTCGTTGTAGATAGCTTTATTCATATTATATTTAGTGCTATTATGATTATAATTGATGTTGTTGTTGTTGTTGTTATTGCTGTTGTTGTTGTTATTGTTGTTGTTGTTTGGAGACAAATCAATCAGAGTCTTTCCTTCGGCCATTGTTCTGTTCACTTTTATATAATTTCTCCTTTATATCTTCTCTCTCCGTCCTTCTTTTACAGTAAGAAAAACAACGACATTAATTAATTAATCGTTGTTAAGAAACATAATAACAACAACAACAATAATAATAATAATACTCATTATTATTATTGTTGTTATTGTTGTTGTTGTTGGTTGTTGTTGTTATTTTTGCTGCTGTATTTCCTTTACATTTCGTGTTCTTGTGTTCTTAATTCAAGAA